ACGATATGTTACAAAGAAAAATGAGAAACAACAGCAAGGGACTTCACACAGAAAGGAAGGTAAGAACTAAGAAAGCAACAAATGGTCATCAGGGATTTTCCCGTGTACTTTTGAGATCTACTAACCGTATAATATAATCTTCTGATTCCAAAAAATATTTCTTTTCCTCTTCTTCGTCAACATTTTCTTCCTCACTATCACTACAAATAAGTGCCTCCCCGCCATTCTGAGCATAATAAATCCTTCGCCGACCCACCACTGATTGATCTTCTGTCATCCTCTGATTTCTGTACCAAGTATAGAAACATAGATCAGCCATCTAAAATTCTAAATGAATCAATGGCTTGAGTTCTGAAGAAATCAACAGCCTGTGAAACCCAGGTCTAAAAACATCTCCCTCTCTGGCTTCTTTGTGAGTTCCACAGTAACCCAATAAAAAGGTCAATAGACGAGAAGGATGCCAAAAAGCATACGGATCTAAATAAGCATAAGGCAATCCTAAAGTTCTTGAATTTGCAGTTTCTTAGTAAAGCAAGCGAAGATAATTGAAAACCAATATTTTAACATTGGTACACACAATGTCAGCAGTAGGAAAGCAGAATTATATCCCAGAGAACTTGGAATCTAACCAGAGATCGAAAAGAAAAAAAGTAAACACGAAGCAATATAGATACAGAAAAAAACACGTCAGTCAGGAAACATGTTGGCAAATAACGTATCAAGAGAATGAAGTGATGAAGCTGCATGATAATTTGAGTCACCTGTCCAAAAAAATCCAGGTGGTGTAAGGAGGTAATTTCCTAACTTCAGGCAGCCTAATTGGCCGAACGGAATTCTTCCCCGGAGGAATACTGGTTCCCAGAAGAACAGCCGTAGAAGCATGAGAGTCTTCTTGATGACTGTCGCTGTCTTTATCACCACTACTAGTACCAATGCCGCTATGCATACCAATCGCATCATCTTGCCTCTTTTTCAGTAGATCGTGGCTAGAATCGGCAAGGTTAATCCAGCTGTTTCGTCTTTCCATCGACAGCTTCTGCAGATGGCTCGTGACACTAGCCAATTTGTGTCTGTTCTTTTCCATCCTTTCCTGCGAAAACCAGATACCACCTAGTTAAAGAAACGAAGACATAAATCTAAACCCAGCAGACACCACAAACTGAAAAATCATAACGTCGTAACACCAATGCACCTTTATAGAAACACACCGTTCATCTACAACGTGTCTTTTCAGAGATTCAATAACTGATGCAATCTCCTCGCTCTCAGGAGCTGACTCGTCTGGCTTTGCCATCTGCAGAGAACCAAAATGAATAGTCACATGAAGCTGCTGTTCTTTCTCACATCATGCTCCAGAACTCAGACTAGACAAACGCATTAGGTTTTCGTGATAGCAAGCCTCGGCAAGCAAATCTCTATCGACATTAATAGGAAGTTTCCAGCTGCAGTCAAGCGCATTGCTCACATCGCCCCACATACAGAAAGGAATTCGCCAGAAATCCACCGAGAATCACAGAAAGCTCGTTAAATCGGCCACTATCAACAAATGCAGTCGGCTATCTCCCTCTAAATCAACCTACATTGATCTATAAGACGCTTATCCACTCCCACAATTCACCACAGCTGAAGCTCGGTCAACCAAGGAAAACAAACAGGGAAGGACCCCGATCGGGCCCCCAAAAGCTTCACCTATGTTCCAGAAGCTTAGAGAAGATATAAATATACAGAGGGAGGAGGCGTTGAAGTTTGCTCACCGGAGTGTCCTGGAGAGACCCGGATCTGCTGGCGGAAGGCGACGGGGACGGCTTCGACGCCATTGCAGACGACGGATAAGACTGAGACTCGATTCAGCTGCGACGGCCCAGAATCGGATCCCGTTCATGCATAGGTAGAGAGAGAGAGTAGATAAGACTTCAGACAGAGAGAGAGAGAGAGGAATTGGAAATGGCGCGGGTGCGGCTTCAAACCCTAAAGTCAAAGTTGTTGCATCTGTGGCAATGTATGGGGGGACGACTTCCGCTTTTGGCAGGTTCATTGTTGAATTTACCGATAGTTTGTTTCATTGATTTGAAAAAGGAAGGTTTTGAAAAAATTTGGGTTTTGTCAAATTATGGATATAGTGGGTTTTGAGTTCATTGTGGACTTGTAGTATATACTATTGTTTGTTTCATTGATTTTATGATGGATTTGGTTAATTAGATTATGTGTGCATGAAGTGAAAATGACATATATTGTCCTCATTGGTATGAGATGATGAGAAAGATAATAGGAGGGGTAGTTTGGTAAATGATGAACTTTAAAGTCTATGATAAAGTTCCACCTAAAGAGGTGGAATTTTCAAGTCTGTGGTACCCATGAATTTGGACCATTAAAGTCCATGGGGCCCACGGATTTGTAACCACAAAATATATGAAGGAAACAATTGAGTTTGAATAAAATTCAGGTGTTGTTTGTTAATGGGATTTGGATGTTGTATTTGAGGGTCGTTTGCTTCAAGGATTTTATAACGAGGATTTTGTCATGGATTTGCTAATTAAAAACCTTGGGATTTATTTTAGAGATTTTGGGCATTATGGATTTGAGGAAATCCTTTGTTTGTTGAGCTATTTTTACCATGGATTTGATGGTTTTTCAGCTTGTCTCCAAATCTCAGGGTATGAGATGGGATTTATAATACTGTGGGGCCCATGGATTTGGAGCAAAAAAAACCCAAATCCGTGGGGCCCATAGATTTATCTAAACATTTTTTGACAAAGCAAACAACGGATTGTGTGTAAATCCATGATGGTTGGTTTTTTTGTACCAAATCCATGATGCAAATCTTTGAAGCAAACGACCATATCCAAATACAAACCATCATGTTTTTTGTCCAGCCCCATTGTTTGTTAAGGTAGGCAAATCCGTGGGGCCCACAGATTTGAAATACTTTTTTAGCTCCAAATTCATGGACCCCACGTATTTGTAAATACCACGTTTCATTTGGTATTTGCAAATACCACATTATGGAAGGCAAATTTTTGACAACCAAATACCAAATGAACTAAATTCGTGATAAAAATTCAACTAAACAAACAATGTTATATTTCAAATACAAAATGCAACAAATCCATCATAACTCCAAAGGTTTTCAAAACTCAAGACCTTCATTTTCAAATCCAACAAGCAAACGAGCCCTCATGATAGAACCAAATCCATCATCAAATCAATCACCAAATTCATCAAGCAAACAACCCCTAAAATTCGTGGTACCAAAATTTGAATTGTCATACTAATTATGAGTTGTGGCCTTGTGAGTACAAATACAAATTGTAGTTGTACATAGTGTGGTATTCGATTAATTTATTAGAAGTGACACGGATAACTAATCAATAACTGACAAATAACGATCACAACGTGAATAGATTATAAGTTAGCGGTGTGGTTATCAATAAGCTGAAATAGTTTTCTGTGGACATGATAATCGAATAACCGGTTAACAGTTAGCCGACAACTAACCAAATAGAACTATCCATATTTCTCTTCTCGAAAACAGTCATGTCCCTCCGAAAAGACTCTCAAACTTCGAATAAAGAATCTCCTTCTTTCCTCAATTTCCTCCCAATGTGATTCCTAACTTTGAAAGAGGCAAGAAGAACCATCGATTTTACGATTAAAATGTAAGCATTAAGATTGGTTTGGGAAGATCAGATGACTTATGTTGGAGGAAAGATAGCAAAGACCACGCCCCAATTTATCCATCAATGACTTCTCTCGCTCAGTTCACACTCATCATTTTTCTCCTTCCCATGCTTTATTCTCTCAATCACAATAGGAACAAACCAAACTCAAATCAATGATGAAAATAATATTAAACAAACACATACAGTACATATATAAACAAAAATGCAAAATTGAAAAAAAGGTTTTATGTTGGTTAGGTTACTGATCAATGATCTTAGTTTGACCGTGCCGAATCACTAACTAAACAGTTAGTCGGTTAACCGACTACATGGTTATGTTTAACCGACTAATATAAACTGTGCAGTTAACCGTAAGCAAAAATCGTTTATCGGTCAACCAATAATCAAATAAAAGGTTATGGATATAAACGAAATGAATCAACTAACAATCCTAGTTGTGCATGTAGTTTTTTCTAGTGATAGTCATTCTTTTTGTAGTATAGGATTACAGCTCCAACATAGATTATTACAACTCAAGATTTGATGTTCAATAACTCGAGTTATTTTATTGTATCAACTAGTTCTTGGAATCATATCATGGTTTATTTGATTGTTATGTTACGTATTCAACTCCTCACAACAAGAAACCCGCTTTCGAATAGATAGTTGTTGAATTATGGGGAAATACATGAACGTATAAAAAACCCAGGAATGCTTCCCCTCGGAAAGTTGTGAAGAGTAACAACAACATTGAGAAACTATTCTGATATAGAGAAATGAAATCTTGACGAAACAATTTGACAGCAGTAAAGAGGCATTGTATTCTGCTCTCTGCATATCACAATCCAACAGAAGGAACTAAATATGCTGGGTCTACCAAAACAGAGACTTGAACCCCCCAGAAATGGAACAGTCTGTATTTGCCAAGTTCAACTCAACCTAGCTCAAAACGTTTAAACAACAATATCAACTCTTGTTTTGTCCATTCATTAGTCAGAAATCGTACACCATCTTTCAGAATTCAGCCAGGCGATCCGCCATACACAAGGTTGAAATCAAGCTTCTGGCACAAAAGCAGACTTTGGTTAGAATCATAAGAATAAGATGTTCCATGTGGTCTACAACTTAAGCAGAGTCTAGTTATCAGACAGCGACAGGAAAACGAAGCAGGACATTGAGATTTGAGAAGGGTACAAGCAAGCCAATTAACATCAACAAATAAATTAATGCATGAAACAAGCCAGCAGCTATTCATCTGTTGAAGAAAAAACAAACAAGAACGAAAAGGACGGTACAAGAAATGCACCTACTTCACATACCTGGCAAGTTAATCGTGTACAATTACACTTTCTTCTTGCCTTTAGCACTAGGCTGAAGCTTCCCATATGCTAAGAGCCTACCATGTGACAATTTGAGATGTGCTTGGTTCTGCCTTCTCTTTGCTTTCCTGGATAGGCCGGCTGAAGTTGATTCTTCATTGTTATCACGATCGATCTTTGGGTTATTGTTCTTCTTACTAGCCTTCCGGATGTTAAGGTTATTCTTCAGCTCCTTAACCTTCATCTTATACTGGTTCTTCTGATTGCTGGGAACCTTCCACTCGCTCTCTCTGTAAGGAGCAAGCTTTTTCACCGACACGTACTGGTTCAAATCTTGGTCCTCCAACAACAATATATCCTCCGTCTTCAATCCATATTTGTTAGGGTTCACTTTCGCATATTTAAACCTCGTCTTTAGGTCTCCAATTGTCCCCTCATAATCCAATTTGTAGTACTCGTCCAACAATTCCTGCTTGGTTTTCTGCAGCAATGACAGCTTACGTTTTTGCTTTTTCCTTTTACCTTCATCCTCCCATTCATCCTTTTTACCTTCCTCTTCCCCTTCTTCCTGTTCATCGTCATCATCGTCGACACTCTTACCCTTTTCTTTCAAAATCCTTTCACGAACAGATGCAAAGTCGCCCTCATTATCAGCTGTATCCCAACCTTTAGGAAGTCCAAGTAACTCATCCTCCTTATCAAAATCCGGTTTCTCGATATCACCATCATCGTCGCCTCCACTGCAAAACCCAGGATCAGCATCTTCAGCTTCGTAATATCCATCATCAAACGCCTTCTTCATCATCGTATCATACTTCTGAGGATCAAAATCGTCCTCCAACTCATCCAAATCCAATGCACCATTGTCACTTTTAATACCTGCAGCCTCCATAACCTTTTGCAGCCTCTGCTCCATCTCCTTCTTCTTCAAATTCTTCAAGTGCTTTAACTCCTCCTTTCGCCGAATCTCCGCCTCCTTCATCCTCTCCTCCTTCCTCTTCCTTTGCCCTTTCCTCGGATTCTCCTCTTTCCTAATAGCACCTTCTACAAACCTAGAGTGACCCATCACCCTATCCCCTTTGTTCTCTTCATGTCTAAAATTAAACCTCTCTTCAAACTGTTCTTGCCTCTCTACCTCCTCTTCATCCATCTCATCAATGTCCCCAAGCTCAAAACCCTCACCCCTACCATCAGTACCCTTGTCAGCCCACATCTTGTTCTTGAAGAACTCCATCAAGAACATCTTGTTCTCGTCCAACTCTTCCTGAGGGCCAAAGTACTCACCCAATTTGGCCTCAAACACCTCATCTTCCTCACCATCCCCTCCATTACCCTTATCCTTCAGTTTCAAGAATTCCCCTTCCCCTACCCCGTCATCCCCACCCTCGAGGTCCTGCACAGCATCAAGAAACTGCTTCCTCAATTCCTCCTGTTCTTCATTGTAGGTCTTCCCTCTCTTCCCTTGTCTAGTCTCCACATCGGTCAAATTCAGGGCCTTCCTCGATCAAGTTCTTGGCCACAACATCCTTCAAGTACATTGACTTCCTCTTCTTCTGGCTCCCCTCACTCTGCTTCTCATTAACATTATTCTCATCATCCTGCCCCTTCTCATCATCGTCTCCTTCTTCCTCTTCGCTATCACTAAATATCGGAACATTCTGGTAGAGTGAAGGGTCCTGCTTCCTTACCTTGAGCAGATTCTCGAAGAACTTAATGTCCTTCTTCTTGTGGGCGCCAGCTATATCATCAGCATCGTCGTCCGACGACTCGGAGTCCGACTCTGAATCGTCGTCGTCAATTCGGCCACTCTTTTTCAACTCCTCGTATCGCTGGAGATCCTCCCGCTTCTTGTTGTGCTCGTACCGCCGGGCCGTACTCCTGGTCGATCTCAATTTTGGAGATGTCTTCGACGGTGGCGTCATCGTCGTCGAACAGCTTCATTGATCCCGCAGCAGGTGGAATTTGACTGGCTGCAAGTGAAAGAAGCACCGCCGGCGACCGGTGGCGGAGGCGGCTAGGGTTTGAAAAGAACGAAATAATAGGATCGTAGAAACGCCGTGGTTTCGTCTGGGAAGAGTTTTTGATCTATTTTCCCTATCGGGTCAAGTGGGCTATATTTCTTGGACTTGTATGTATGAGACTAATGAGCCTTTGGGCTTTAACTCAATCTATGGGCCAAATGTTAATTTGGATGCGGCGGGTAGTGTCTTGCTAATAATGATGAGTGGTGGGGGAGTTTTGTAATGAAATGACACGCAAAGGGAAAAAGAGCAAGTTTTTTTTTTTTTTTGACAAAAGATAATCAATAGATTGAAATCAATAGATCGTTACATCCTGGAATACAGCCAGGCCTGGAAATCAAATAACGACAAGTAGTCGGGGCCAAAGACAGGGCCTGTCTAGCTACCAAGTGAGCTACCCTATTGTTCCTCCGGCCTACAAATCGCACAGCCAACCCTAAGTGGGAATTAAACAAAGCCACTAACTCTTTCCAAAATGGCACCAATACTACTATCTTGAGCATTCTTCCGGCGAACCTTCTCAATTAATACCTGGGCGTCACCCTCAAACCTCACATCAGCGAACCCATTAGCCAAGCACCAGCCAATCGCCTCCCGGAGAGCCAACGCTTCCACCATCATTGGATTATCCAGACACGGGAAGTGAACCCCCTTAGCCAGGATGACCTCTCCTACTTGAATTTAGTATAACCATTCCCCCTGCCGCATGCGAACCCTGCCTCACCGCCCCATCCCACATACAAATCACCGAGTCCTCACCAGCCAGACTTGTGGTCAGGGCCAGGGGTCGCGTATTCGGAGCAGGCAGATCCCTGGGTAGGCTAAGCCATTCCTGTAATTGCTGGTTAAATTGGCGCATCAAGGCAGGGATACAAATTGTTTTCCTTCAAATACCACCCAATTCCGGGACCGCCAAATCCGCCAAAGAACAGTCACTACAGACATTACCAGAGCAGGGCTATGCAGTAAAATTCAAGAGATTCTTCAGAAAGAGCGGAAAAGTATGACGGGGCAGTCCTTCACCCAAGTGGGCTAGCCCAGAGTATTCCCACATAGCACGAGCCACCGGACATTCCAAGAACAAATGTTCCAGAGTTTTCCGATGCTTCCCAGCATACCGGACATCGCGGCATAACCTCCACCTTTCTCTCACGCAGTGCTTCAGTAGTCGGAAGAATCCTATGGAGGATTTGCCAAACAAACACCCTAAACTTCGGCGGAATATCCGCTTCCCACACCCTGATCCAGCTTGCCTTATCCATCCCAACTCACCAAAGCCCTCCAATGCCCATTCTGCCGGTCCAAATTCATCGCTACGTAATACGCAGACTTAACGAGAACAGGCCATCAGGGGTGGAATGCCAAATCAATTTATCCTCCACATCCTGGCGCGGCAACGGGATAGCCCTAATGGCCTTGCAGGTCTCCGGGTCAAACACTGGAGAAGCTTTCGGTCATTTCCACCGACCCTCACCATGCTGGATCACTTCCTCCACCCTAACCTCCCTCTATCAGGAATCACACATGGGTTATAGACTGGGAGGCGGGGATGTTGCGAAGGAATCCAGCTGGACGTAAGCAGAGGGGCCTGTTTGCCATTCCCAATTTGCCAACGCAAACCTGCCTCCAACAATTGCCGGCCAAAGAGGATACTTTGCCATCCCAAGAGGGACGAGATCTAGCTTGAGCAGCCAAAAATGTCCCATCGGGAAAGTACTTTCCTTTGTATACCTGGGCCAGAAGGGACTGGGGTTCCGTAAGAATCCGCCAACCAATTTTAGCGAGCAGCGCTTGATTGAAAAACTCAAAGCGTCGAAACCCCATGCCCCTTCATGCTTACTTTTGCACAAGTTCCTCCAAGAGATCCATCGGATCTTAGATTTCCCTTCTTCCACACCCCACCAAAATCGGGCTATATGCTTATCCAGAAGGCGGCACAGAGTCAGGGGTAACTTGAAGCAGGACATAACATGTAGAGGCAAGGCCAAAGCAACCGATTTAATCAAGGTTTCCTTCGCAGCCCATGACAGAGTCCGTCTCTTCCATCCCTGTAATCTCGCCAGCAGTTTCTCCTCAAGGTAGCGGAAAGTCGCCATTTTAGACCTGGCGATCAGGGAGGGGAGACCCAAATACTTGTCGTGGACCCCCACAGCCCCTACTCCTAATATTTCCCCCAGGAACTCCTGATCCGCCGTTGCAATGTTTTACTGAAGCAAACAGCCGATTTCTCCAGATTCACTTTCTGACCACTCAGCTCCTCGTACTCATTTAGAACCTCGATCAAATTCTCACATTCTTGGAGGGAACCTCTTAGAAATAGATAAGAATCATCGGCAAAAAACAGATGAGAGATACGAGGCGCACGGGGGGCCACCTTGACCCCTTGTAGTTTTCCTTCTGCGATGGCTTGACGAAGGAGAGCCGCGAACCCTTCCGTACAGATTACAAAAAGGAGGGGAGAAAGCGGATCACCCTGTCTGAGCCCTCGGGTAGAGGAAAAAAACCCAGCTGGGGTCCCATTCATTAAGACCGAAAATGAAGTAGATTGGAGGCACTCCTGAACCCATCCTCTCCAGGTCGAGTTAAACCCCATTTTTTCCAAAACCCCTAAGAGAAAGGGCCATTCAACTCTATCATAGGCCTTTTCCATGTCAACCTTAAGAGCCATATACCCCTTCTTCCCTCGGGTTTTGATTTTCAGGTAATGCATTAACTCGTGACCTAGGAGGATATTATCCACAATCTGCCTCTCTCGAATAAAAGCATTCTGGCCATCGGAAATAATCTGTGGCAGAATATCAGCAAGCCTTCCTGCCATGATTTTAGTAATCACCTTATACACAAACTGGCAGAGGCTAATAGGACGTAATTGCCTCATTGATTCAACTTGATCCACCTTAGGAATCAATGTCAACCACGTATGATTAAAGCTCCGAAGCATTCTACCCAGTTTCAAAAACGAACTCACTGCCTGGATAACTGAATCCCCGACTATCCCCAAAAAGCTTTGAAGAACTTCCCAGTAAACCCATCCGAACCGGGCGCCTGTTTGGACCCCATTGAGAATACCGTTTCCCGTATTTCAGTAGGGAGGACTGCAGCAGTCAGGGACGCATTCATATCCGGAGTAACACACGGGTCAATAGGGAGAGCAGCCACTCTCTCATGCATATCCACAATCAGGCTTTCAGTTGTGAATAGCGACCGGTAAAAATCGGTGGCAAGCTCAGCTTTCCCTTTCTCCTCTGTGACCCAATCACCCTCCTCATTGAAAAGACCAGCCACAAAATTCCGCTTCCGCCGAGCCCTAGTGACCGTATGAAAATAAGCCGAGTTTTTATCTCCCTTCTTAAGCCAAGTCACACGGGACTTTTGCTGCCAATAAATTTCCTCAGCCTCCCATTGCCTATTCAATTCAGTTTCCAACCTGGTCACCTCTTCCCAGTCAATAGGGTGAACATTTTTCAGCCGATCAATTTCACCTTGCAAGGTATGAATGTTTCGCAGAGAATTGGTGGTTCCCGCTCTACTCCAATCATATAGCAAATGGCGTAACTTTTTCAGCTTTTCCCATAGCTGGAACATTGGGGTACCAGGTATATTCTCCTGCCAGACGTAATCGACCATAGCCTTGACCTCCGGATTCGTTGCCCACCGAGCATCGAAGCGAAAAAGAGGGCGACAGCTTCGGGTATAGGGCTTGTCCGAGAGGAGCAGAGCTCTATGATCCGAACCCTGATCCGTGAAGTGCTTGACAAGTGTCTCTGGATAACGATCCATCCAACCTTGCGAGCAGAGGGCCCTATCAAGTCTCGCACGAATACAGGCTGAACCCATTCTTTATTCGTCCACGTGTAAGGGTCCCCCTGAAAACCAGGATCATGCAACCCTATCAGATTAATAAGGTTTCTGAGATCCAAGGATTGATTAGCATTCCATGGATTCCCTCCATCCTTTTCATTATCACAAAGGGTAGCGTTGAAATCACCTAGAATCACAAAGGGAATAACAAGGCCTTCACAAATCTCACGCAACTGGGTCAATTGAATGGCTCGTCTCGCAATATTGCAGCTCAAGTATACGCAGACAGCAACATAGGAAAACCCATTCTCATTAATACGAGTACAAATGCAAAAATTAGAATGAAAAAAACACTGAAGCCTCAACTCCAGGGGACCAAGCTACTACTAGACCACCAGAACCATCAACAGCATCAACAAAGAAACAATGACTTGACTCAAACCCTAACCCCCGCATTCGACGGGACACTACTCTCCGGCACGATCTTGTTTCTGAAAAGAAGACAAGGTCCGGTTTATTCGACCGCACTAACCCTACTGCTGTTTGGAAAGTGAGGGATGGTCCAATTCCTCTCACATTCCAACCCAAAATCCTCATTTATCTGCTTGGGGCCACTCATGGCTGGCTTCCTCCACCATAACAGTTTCTGCTTCCTCTTCCACAAATTGTTTTTTGGGAGTGGGTGACTCCCCAACCTCCCCATCCACCTCATCCAGAGCGCGCTTCCTGCTTTCATCCACCATATTGGAACCATATTCGTTTAGTTTCCTAATCATTTCTCCTTCACCAGAGGCCAAGGGATCCTTCTCCTCATTGATAGCCAAGTTGGCCTCAAAAGCAGCTACCACTTGCTTCACTTGACCCATTTGGCCTTGCTGTTCTGGAGTCTCGAGGGGTAGGCGCTTCTTAATTTCATACTGTTGACCCTCTCCCTCAGAGAGAGAGGTCTCCGAGTCTACCTGTTCACCGGCAGCTGCCTCCAAAGACGCCTTCCCCTTAGATCTACAGGGCTTGATTTCGTTATGGGACTCAAAATCCCCCTCAATCAATACCTCAGCTGCTTTCGAACTTGTCGCCTTCCCCTTCCTTTTTGAACCCGAGGGCCACTTTGAATAACATCTTCACCCACCATTAATTGATCGGCCTTCTTGGGGTAGGCTTCCCCCCGACCCTTTCTTTTTCTGGGACATCCTCTTTTTATTCAAAGCCGCACCCGCCAGGCCCTTAGAAGTCGCCCTCGGCTTTGCTGGGGATGATTTCGACCGAGAAGTCCCACTCGCTGCTACTTTGACCAATCGCCTCCCTTTCTTCTTTCCATCAATCTCCGCCTTCGTACTCGGGACGGGAACAGTGGGGACGATTACTTCATCATCCGAATCCTCGAGAAGGAGGCGCCTACGACGAGTAGGACTCCAAGCAGGCAACGTCTCCATATCTTCCCCATCCAAATCCGCCATCTGCTCTTGAATTTGTACCTCGTTCATCTCTCCTCTTGGCAGCCCTTGGCGAGCAAAAACAACTGGCGCCGGCTTTACCATATTGCATGCTGGCGCACCTCGCCGAGATAGAGCCTGTACCCGTTGTTGGTCCGCTGGGAACGCAGGAGCAGGGGCATCCGAGCTCCTCCCGAGCTTGAGCTGCGGTGATCGATGGATCCTGAACCCGCGCGGGCTAGCATGACGTGGAGCTCTCTGTGGCGACAAGGCGGCGCGCACAGCTGGATGGGTAGGCCGCCCATGGTATCCCTCATCCACCATTGCCCCCTTCGGCTTCGGGAATGCTGACGCAGCCTTGTCAAATCTTTGCTCATGGAGGCTTTTGTTAACCCAAACCGAGCTTTGCACCCTGGGAAAATTCTGTTTCTGATCCTCATTATCATAAACTCGAGTGCCAAGTTTCCTTGTGGACATGTGAGGACCGAAATTCTCTTCTCTGGTTGGAGGCTCAAAAGTACAGGCCCTGAGTGAGTGACCCACTCTACCACACTGGTAGCAAAAACTGGGAAGATATTCGTACTTTAGGCCAACCCAGAAGTCACCCGTATCATCGTTGGTGGCAAAAATCTGGGAACGGAGTGGCTTAGAGAAATCAACCAGTGCTTTCACTTTCACAAACCAGTTGCCCGTCTCCTGACAAGCAAAAACTCCAGACTCCAGGACCTTTCCAATAGTGGTATTCACCACTTTCCTACCAAACTGCTGTGTACAGCAATCTTCTTTCACGTCCCACAATTGCAGCCGAAAGGGGACAACAGCAAGCTCATCATATGTCTGTTTCGTAATGATCGGAGTCCATTGGCGAAGGTGGATGATTTTGTCGTTGATCACCCACGGTGAGCGCTTTAGCACCCATGTTTTTGCTTCCTCACTGGGAAGCATGAACTCAACCAGCCCGTGCTTAGCGAGCACAACCCGAAGGCGCCCTTGGATGAGCCATGGGTCGAGCACCGCCTCACGGAGTTCCGTGGTGGAGATCCTATTCTCTGTGAACACCCGTCCCAGCAGCGAATGGGCAGCTCGATATCTGGTAGATTGAACCTCCTCCATCGAAAATTGAACCACTTGATCAGAAGCGATGCGCGCCATCGTTGAAACCTGGATCAGAGAGGTGACACTCGCATTAGCATTCCTGTTTTCCTCAACGGGGGGCGATAATTCCCAGCCCGTATCATTAAATAAGGGCGGAGTGTGATGCAGCAGGCCGCTGCCGAGCTCATGCATGGGAAAGGTCATTAAAAGATTTGACCATGCATTAGCAGTAGGATTACGTAAGAAAGCATTGCAGAAAGTACCTGAACTGGAGATGTTGCTAGTCGGCACTGGATCCTTCTCGCTTTGCGCTGTTCGCCTTGCTCGGATATGAGGGATTATCTGAGAGCAAGGAACAATCGTCAGCGGTTTATAAAGGATGCCGAGCCCCGTAAATAGCTGACCTCTCTCCAGCCGGTTACTGCTTTTTAGAATCCCATTAGGAGTGGGATACTTGAGAGCAACGTCCGGAATCTTATTCAAGAATAAATTAATATCCATCCTAAAAGAAACCTGAGACGTGTTTAATAAAACCAGCTTATTCCTCCGACTTTCCTGGACGTGCGGTATTCGCATAGAGAGAGGAGGACTCTCATCCAAACGAAACATCGTACCAGGGGTAGGAATCTGTTGAGCCGATATCAGGATCGGGATGCCACTGTGTACAATCCCGAAAAACCCTGAGGGAATATCCGATGAGATAACAAATTTTTCCGGATTCTGTCGGGTAGCAGGATTTTCCGCTCCCCCGTCATTGACGGCAGACTTCTTGTCGCCGGTGATTGAATTCCTCCCCGACCGCCAGCAGGCGCCACCGTGAGCCGGAGGTTTCAAGTCATATTCTATTGAGAGGGAAGGAGAGGTATTCCCGGTTACCATTAAATCGTTGGCAACCATAGCGGTTTGATTGAATACCAACTCCCCCATCTCATCAAGATCAAAGTCGTCAACTGTCGGGATCTTAAATGTCCAGACGACCACTTTTGAGAATCTTCGACGCTTAGCGTCAATGGCGCTCATACCATCACCATTTTCCGGGTTGAACTTGAGTTTACGTTTGCCTCTCTGACACCTTGGTCTCCGACTGTCTATGGACAGCCTACCGTAGGCTGGTACCGTCGAGCGAGATCTACCCTCCATAGAGGGCCTCTTCGTCCATTCTCCGCTCACCTTCTTTCCGGTATCCTTCGGAATGAGTGACCTCCCCAGATGAGCCATATGTTGATTGCGCAGGCAGCACAAAAGCATTGACGACAGTAGGGTGTGGACAAGGAACACGAGCCACCGTCCCATCTGCAGGAGAGAGGAGAGAGCGTTTCTCTTTTTTTTTTTTTTTTTTTTCTGAGGTACTTACTACTTGCCGATAACTTTCTGAACTGCTTAACACTCCTTCTTGCCTATGTGTGAATTTTTTTGGGGGTGGGGGTGGGGGGGGGAGGGGGTTGGGTTGAGACTTATTATGAATTAGGAGAGCGAGTGAGGTGGACTTGGGAGTTGAGCTGAGGTTTGTGAGAAGTGAGGGGAGATTGGGAGTGCAACTGTGGGAGGTGGGTTGGGCTTGTGAGACTGCGAAAAAGAGCAAGCTGCCAAGCAGGAAATCAACAAAATCTCCGACAAACCTCCGCCGCGTCCCCAACTCGGCAAAAATGCGACAGCGACACTTCCAGCTTTCACTAATCGCTTTGTACACTTATGGATGGTCTGGATTTAGTGGCATAGTCGGGATTCAAGTTTTAGTTGGGTTTTATTTTGTTGTTGTAAAACAAGTAGTCAAGTACCATAAAAAATCAGCAAGCATCCTTTCTATTTCTCGAGCTGACCCGATCTGAGTCAAGGCCGTTAAGGACCTCAAGCCGACTCTTGTCTGCGAGGTTCTGTGTGTCAAGCAAAAAAAGTTGGACCGATCTCTTATGCACGAGCATTGGTGTACATATTGGGGGGCACATTTATACGACAATTTGAAATGAGCCAACGGAAGCAACGACTTTTGATTTTGTCAATAATAACCTTCTTTTTTTTTTTGTGAAATACACAAAATATTTACTTCTGTCCAATTCTTTAACAGTGTCAACGAAGTGGATGACCAGATTAACTGAGATGTTGATATGGCAACTCTCCTTGAGGATAAATTCCACATGGAAAATTAATGATAAGCTGTTATTGCATTTGCTACGCCATAAACCCAATCCAATCGATTCATGAACATTGAACAAACCGAAGCTCTTGGATTAAAATTTGGTGAGCCAAATTTAAATCATCAACAATCATAATTAACAATAAAAAGAGTTGGGAAAAAGAAAAAAAGAATTAAATTGTAGTATTTTCCTCAACACAAAATAACAAATCAAAGAGAAAGAAGAAGAAAAAAAGGGACAAATCTCAGTTTTTTTATCAGCTCAGTAATACAAATGCCTTCCAATGTCCAGAAGGAAGACGATTCCCGTCTCCAGTAACTTAGTAGTACGGAATCGATGGCGGCGGCGGCGAAGCGTACGATACCCCTATCACCGGTGGCAGAGGCACGCTTTCAGGAGGTGGCGGAGACGGCGGCGGCGGTGAGTGGCGAGGAGGGGGAGGCGACGAATACGTGTAATGGGGCGGAGGAGGACTTTGGTGATGTGGAGGCGGCGGCGGAGGGGATTGCGGCGAGTGGTAGCTGGGGGTTGGCGGCGGCGGCGGCGGCGACATTGTTGGTGATGGCGGCGGGAGCTCACATCCGGGCTTCGATGGTGGAGGCGGCGGTGGCGGTGGAGTTGTGCATGGAATTGGCGCGGGAGCGTGCTTTGGCGGTGGGGGGGCGTGATGCTCGCCCGTTGGTGGTGGCGGTGATTGCTGGTAAGTAGGCGTCGGGGGCGGCGGCGACTGAGGTGGTGGTGGAGGAGACGAATATTGGTAGTAAGGAGGCGAGTGGTACTCGACCGGCGGCGGCGGTGGTGGTGGGGAGGAGTAAACTGGCGGCGGTGGTGGTGAGGAGTACACTGGCGGGGGAGGAGGAGGTGGTGAGGGTGGTGGCGGCGGTGGAGAGTAAACTGGCGGTGGTGGGGGAGGTGGGGAAGGCGGCGGCGGTGGTGGAGAGTAGACCGGTGGAGGTGGGGGAGGTGGTGATGGCGGCGGCGGTGGGGGAGAGTACACTGGTGGTGGAGGGGGTGGCGGGGAAGGCGGGGGCGGTGGTGGAGAGTAGACTGGCGGGGGAGGGGGCGGTGGAGAAGGCGGTGGCGGAGGTGGAGAGTACACTGGCGGTGGTGGTGACGGAGGAGGAGGAGATGGCGGTGGAGGCGCGTGACGTGTCCCTGGCGACACCTTTTCCGTAGGAGGCGGTGCTGTCTGTTGCGTGGGAGGAGGGGGCGGCGGTGGGAGATGAGTCACAGGGGAAACCCTAGAAGAAGGCGGCGGTGGAGACGGAGGTGAATGGAAAGAACCCGTCGGAGGCGGAGGGGAGCGCGATCTGGACGAAGGCGACGACCTAGACTTCGGAGGCGGTGGAGATCTTCCAACGATCGGCGGTGAAGGCTTGGGCGTGGAAGGAACATTAACCGGAGGCCGTCTCCGCCCTCCGCTAGCGCTCCCACTTCCACCACCACTTCCTCCTCCTCCGCCGCCCCCGCCGCCGCACTTAAACTTGCTACAATCAACCGGCTGCGCAGCTCCCGACGAACACTCCCTACCAGATCTCTGATTCGCCTTCCCAGCAACACAATTCCTCGTCCCGTTAACCGCCACGCCGCGCCTAACCGCACCGCAGCTCGGCGCCTCGCCGGAGAAGTAGTTGAACGAGTAGGTAAAGTTCTGCAGATTCGGCAACGAGCAAACACTCGCCGGAACAACGCCGGTGAACTGATTGTGCGCCACATTGAGCTGCTGGACCTTCCTCATGTTGCCAATGCTCGACGGCAACGAGCCCTGTAAATGATTGAAGCTCACATCGAACACCGTAACTTCCTTCAACATCCCGATCTCCGCGGGCAAACAGCCCGTGAGGTTATCATTCATCAGAATAATCTCATTCAGCGTCTTCCCCATCTTCCCGATGCTCCCCGGGATACAACCGCCGAGGTCGTTGTTCGCGAAAACGAGCACCGAAACCGGCGAGTTCCCGAGATTCTTCGGGATCCCGAACCGGAATCGATTATCGTTCAGAAACAGAGCATCCAGCGGCTTATCAAAGAGCTCGGAAGGAACGGAGCCTTCGAAATCGTTGAATCTCAGATCCAGAAATTTCAACGAAGGGAGGGAGATCACGACGGTGGGGAACTCCCCGACGAACCGATTGTTGCTGATGTCGAGCTCGTGGAGGAGCTTGAGCTTGCGGAACGATTTGGGGACGATGCCGCAGAACCGATTGGAGTTGATGTGGAAGAGGGCCAGATCTGTGAGGAGGCCGAGCTCGGAGGGGAGGTACCCGGCGATGTCGGCGTGGTTGAGGTCGATGCCGGCGACGACGCGGAGCTTGGGGTTGGTCAGCGAAGGGGCGCAGAAGACGCCGGAGTAGGAGCAGACGGCGGGGCCGGTCCAGTTGGCGGTGAAGTTGAAAGGGTCGGAGTAGATGGCCTGCTTCCATGATTGGAGGGCAATGTAGGCATTGCGGAGGCGGGGGTTTTCGAATCGCATGGAACGCGGGATGCGGACGGCCTCGGAGTCGTCATCGTCGGCGGCGGAGGCGGCGGAGATGAGGAGGCAGAGGAAGAAGAGGGAGGAGATGGAGCGGGGAGACATTGGGCGGCGGCGGCGCATTGGTGGGAGGAGGGCGGTGGCGGCAGAGAGAAAGAGGAATGGAGGTGGTATATTATTTGATTCAGGTGAAGGAAATTTGAAAGAGGAGAGAGAGAGGGAAAGAGGAGGAAGGAGAAGAGAGAGAGGACAGTCTGCCCATGTTTTCCGTCTAGCCATGTTGAGGGGCCGGTTTTTATAAATAAAAACTGGCAGGGAGGGATTATTAATTGTTTTTATTTATTTATTTTGATTTTTGAGGTCTTTCTAGTTGGAACTTGGAAGCGCGGCTCCAGCTTTACTAATTTCTTTGGAACTAATTTTATAATGATTAGTGAGTTAATTAAAAATTAGGTGGATGAAAATTTTGGGGGGCTGTTTGGGAGGAAGGTTAGGAAGGAAGAAGGAGGACAAGGTCAAATGGGAATATTGATGAAATTGAGAACATGGGAGGCACGAACCAAAATACGTGTAGTTGCTGAAGTTGGAAAACGAAGACAATGAACAAAATAAGTGGAGTGAGTAGTGGGTTTTTTGACATCATAGAGAAAGAGAAGCAAACGCATTTGTTTGTGTACACTGAGGTAACAATGTACCAGGGATAAAAACCAAACGAAAAGAGTGTGTAGTTGTTAGAGAAATCGAGTAGTGGATTGACAGTTTGGGATATTTTGCAAGGTTTACGTTCTGTTAACGTCGTGAGTTAGAGTTCGATTATTGGTATTGGCGCTTATTGATCAATTTATGTGGAATACCAAAGAGCAAAAACTTTAAGGGTTGGAAATTGTGAATGTTACGAACGGAGAATAAAAGGAGCAGGAGTGAAAAGACTGTTTTTTTAAATACCATGTTGGTTAGGATGATTGTATATATCTGTCTGTACGATTTCATGATCTTGTTAATTACTTGCATTGTGCGAAATTCAATATATCAACAGCAACTTTCCATAACATTAAAGCACAAAGAGAACATGTTCGTTTGGTTTCTGTGATTGTTTGGTTGAGATTGTTACACTGGTTATATTATTTACAATTCATCGTTTTTGTGATGTTTTATACACAAACAGACAATACATGTATTGTTTACTACAGAAACAATCATTCATAATGAATGATTGTACAATCTCAGCTTTTCGCATTGTGCTAGTTGAGATTGTTTTTTTCTTCTTCCAAACTTTAACCTTTAGAAGTTACTTTTTGCATTGACTATGAAGGATACAATGACATATTTATTAAAAAGTTATTTTTCCTTTTAACTATTGAAAACACAATCACAAATATCAAACGTTGTAATCTACAATACACCAAATTCAACAATGCATGTATTGTTCACAATACATCAATTTAACAATCGGAGAAACCAAACTACCTTAAATTACCTAACTAGAGTTGAAGTTTTTTTTTCTTTTCTTTTAACAGCAGCTCATTAGAAGTACTACTGTGCAATGAGTAAACTGTGTTGTAAGTAGGGATGGCAATTTCGACCTGACCCGTTTTACCCGACCTGTTTGACCTGTTTTGGGGCGGGTCCGACCCGCCCCGTAGGCGGGGCGGGCATGGGTAGTCTCATCGACCCGACTTGCCCTGACCCGCCCCATTCATGACCCGTTCTTGTCTAAATTACATGTAATCTTAGTCAAATTACTTTGAATTTTCCTTTTATTGCATCATATTTTAACTATAATAAAGTTGTAAATTAGTGAAAACCTCAATTTCCCCAATAATTTAACTACAATTGTCATAATATTGTTTGTTTTCTTAGTCTTATAATAAAAATAACGAATATTTCTAATGTGTTTCATATAAATTGCATACCCATTGGGTCGACCTGCCCCGACCAGCGACTCGTGATCAATAACCCGACCTGGACCCGCCCTGCCACGGGACAGATCTGGGTACCAAGAAACCCGCCCCGGACCTGCCTATTGCCATTCCTAGTTGTAAGTAAGCTTCTGCACTCTTCAGCAGGCGAGGCCATGAGGTAGGTCCTTTATTAATTGAAAACAATGACGTTGAAAATTTGGGTGAAAGAAATGAGGGAAAAGGTGAACAGAGGTAGAAATTATACAGCTATGCACGATGGCAAAAGATTGAAGCTGCAGAGCAGTACTCGCTTCCACGTTGCAATTTGCAGCAACCAGCAGCTGCATTTCTTTTGTTTTGGGGTATAGCCTGACTGACTGCACTGCACTAACTCTATTGTATTAACAGCTAGAGAAAGGCTCCTCACCACCAACCCTTCTGACTATTTCTCTTCAAAATCTTTCTATCTATCCATTTATTCAATCAGCCAGCCCACAACCTACCATTCTTCATGTATACCCCCCTTCACCATTTTTGTTCATGGTCGGTTAAGAACCATTCAATTCCAATAACTTGAATTCTCGGGAGAATTTTCAATAATGAATCTCATATTACATACTAACACGCTCCCTCAATCGAAAGCCACGTATAAGGGCTTGAGGTTTACACAGATCTGAATACCCAAGTGCTTAACAGACGGGATCGTTGAGATTCAAACACAAGACATCCCAGTCACGCAGAATGCCCTGATACGATGTCAAGAACCATAAGATCCATTATTGAACATCTCCCACAACAAATCAGAGTTATTAAAATCATAGTTCATAACATGGTATCATAACTGATTTGACCATATGTTGTTTTTTTTTATAGTTTTGGTTGTTAAATATGAAACGCGGGTTTAACTAATTTGGGCAAAATCCTAGTAGAAAGGAATTTGTGGGGTTGGGAATGTGGAGGACTAATGTGTCTTAAGAAATTGAAACATGGAAATGGTGGTGGGATGCCAATCAACCAGCTAATCATGCCCACCATTACAGGCCACATTTCTGTATTGTTTTTCGGCAGGATGTTTTTTCGATACATTTTAGGACTAATTATTAAGGATGTATTTGTAGGAAAATCCAAGCACTCGAAAAAAAAAAACGACAACGACAACAAAGAGACAATCGCTCACTCGGCGCCGCCGGCGAGAAAAAAGGGAGGGAGGGAGGCAGATCAGAATCGAATTGTTTGACATTAATTTTGACAAAAATATAAGATGTAAATATCAGTTCAAGAAACTGCTTACCTGTGCTTGGGCAATTGTTTTCATCTCATCATTTCAGACGGCGAAAAAGCTAATCATATGAATATGACCATGATGGCTTTTTTGTCAAATATGTCGTGAAGACAATTATGGTTCATGCATGCTTTTGTTATCTATGAGGATGAGGTAATCCATCTTCAGTTCTTCACCTATCGATTCATACTTTACCGTTTGTAATGAACCGGGTCGAGTCGGATTTGACAATTTTGAACTTACTAACCAATCAATTTGTGATAAAAAAAAATGTGGTTAAAATCCATTCATGGTGTTAGAGAGTGATATAAGATATTCATAATCAATTAGTGATCCTTGGCATGGTATCGAAGCCTTCAATGAGAGAGTTAGAGAGGGATCTTGTGTCCATATTCCCGACGACCCCCATTTGTTAACCATATGGTATTCGGACTTGTGAAAACTTCAACCTCCATATGATTTGATTTTTGTTTGACGCGACACTCCCAGCAATTTGAGTGACTGAAACCAACTTGTTCTCGACACTCAACACTTAAAAAGGTTCTATGTCCGTTCGATAATGCTTGCTCGTTGCTAGACCATTCATCACGAAACTTCTCGAGTTTTTTTTCGATCGGTTATATATACACTATTCGACAACTAAGTTCATCTAATCAAACAACTAGCTATACATGCATTAAGCAAACAAGGCCCATCGATTGTGCGTTTCCTTTTCCTTGCAAATTCATCAGAATCTAGTTCTTTTTCTTAATAAGTTTTACAACCCAAAAACTAGAACCCGGAAAATACAAAAAGGGTAATGGGAAAAAGGTCTTCTTCTCTTTTCCATCTCCAGCAAACGAACTTCCCTTTCGCCCACAAATTGGAAAAAAGGATTACAGAAGGGAAAACGCGTAACAGGAAAAAAAGGAGAGGGAATGTTACATATCGCTGTCTTCTTCTCTGCTGCCAAACAAGCAGCTGGCGTGAATCCTGCTCTGCTAGTAAGTAAACACTGCTGTATTGCATTTTGCACAAGCAACCCAGTTGTTTTTCTTCCACTCTTTTTTTTTAAAGAAAAGAAGCGCATAAAGGACACCCAACCTTAATTTAATTCAACAACAAAATGGATAGTTCGAATTTTAACAACGTCATGATACAACCAGTAAGAATTAAGAAAGCATATCGTCGGGTGCTACAAAACTATGAGAACATATCGAAAGGAACTTACGTATGTTGGCTAGATAGTCGGCGACAACATTCGCCTCCTTGTAGACATTGAGAAAAAAAAGCATAAATCACAGACCTTGTTGGCCCAGTTGTTTAATAATAATTTTCTCCATATTCTTTCCTTCCTCTCATCCTTCCCTACAGATCACCTGCTCCAGGTTAGCACAGGGTGGCAACCTCTTCTTCCCCTTTCCTTCTCCTTTCTTCTTTCCATCATATCATTATTATATATCACTTCCCTCCCATAATTTTTGGGGGACACACCATCAATTTCCAGCTTCATCCCATTTTGGTACCTTGGATCATGGATGAACTAAAATTAAATTTCAGAACATCTTCTGCTACAATCCTTTGTCTCTTCCCTCTACACTATAGTATATAACAGCTAGAAGCTAAGAAGCTCTTCTGAGTTCTCACTTCTCATACATTACAAAAAACACAGCAGAATTGTCTGTTCCCCTGTTAGATTCACCAAAAGCCCAACATGAACAGACTTCTATCAATTCAAACCGACTCATGTTCCATTGATAAACAAATTATGCAGAATGGGCATCACCGTTGTCTTTCCATCTCGAAGTGTGCATTCTATCCGGTCTCGAAAGTGAAAGGCGATTGAGCAGTTTATGCCAATACAGCTTAAGTTTAATACCCGTGTGTGTTGTTCAGTAAGCATACTCGGGCGGAGGTGCTTCTTCTGGTATCTGGCAAATAAAGGAAATAAGAACAAAATCACATTCATGTTACACAAGGAGGAACGGAGGAGGTAGATGAGAAGAAGTTTTTAAGTTTTTACCTCTCCAGGATTCCATGTTTTTGACCAGATGCTCATATCCCCAGAGGAAGCGGTATTATTTGGACCACTACTATTTCTGCAGGTTTACAAAAATGTTAAAACCGAGACTAATAACGAATCTATCAAAAATTATCAGTGCTCTCAAGTTGCAGGCTTACACTGACTGAATATTTGCAGATGGTGCTACGGAATTCAAACTATTAGGATTCTGCTGAGTAAATGACTGAAAATTTTGTGGTGATGCTGCAAAGGAAGAAAATGGATTGCCACTGGCACTGGCGGGAAACCCTGTCGTGTTTGAGGGAAATGAACTTCCTTGCTGCTGCTGCTGATTGGAATTTTGGACTCCAAATGGACCTAGCAATGCCAAATATCCATTGTAAGTGACGATGGAGGACCAAATGCCTGATTGTAAGAAAAATGAAACTACAAAAGATGGTCTCACTATTTGCAGTAGGAATGTTATTCGCCACGACTGCTCCTGAATTCTGTGTAAAGGGGGAACTATTTGGCTGGCCAAAAGGATTATTCACTTGTGAAGGGGGCCTAAACAAAGAGACAACATGTCAAGAGTGTAAGAAAGGATCATATAGGCATATAAGAACTTGTCAGTTGTGAATGCTAATACTACAGTTTCTAACCTCACTCCAAAGGGGTTTGATGCCTGAACAGAACTTGAGAAAAGATTTGGTTGGTTGGAGATATTGTTTGGTACTTGTCCTGTGGGCCTGAAAGTTGAATTTTATTTACAGCAGATAATAACACAGGAAAAAGGAACCCACTCAGTAAGATGTTAGACTCATGAGAAAAAGTACAGTAAGAATGTATTGAAGGAACCATTTGCTTTCATCACACTTCTACCTTGCGGCAAACCCCATATTAAGAGATGGACCCAGCTGGCTGAAGCTAGACACTTGTGGAGGAGCACTGCTCGGACCAGTAGGCGAAAACCCGTTGCTAGCTTGTCCAGGAAATGGACTCTGAGAGGCAAAAGCAGATCCTGGAGGTGGTACATAAGGATTGCGGATAAGGTTCTGAAACTCAGCCAATTTAGAGTTTGATAGATTTCTCTCCCTTTCAACCTGCAGCAAAGTGAACTTCAAAAAATAACTGAAGAAAGCACATATGGTTCCCTCTACCAAAGTTTTCACAACCATTGCAATTTGCAAGAAACATGAACTTGTATATTGGAACTAGCACATAACTTATGTGTAGGCATAAGGCGGGTTTAGTAAATAACTGGAAAAGGACAGATAGATATCCTTTGTAACGTTGGATTGACATATGCTACCCTCAGCGCTGCCAAATCATTGAGGAACCTATCCAGCATTAGTAATTCTCAGGACCGCTCGCTACTTCAATGAGCTTATACTTGAAGGAGAGGATTATCCACTAGTTTGGTAGACTATATACATAAAATGCATGGCTTAGTTAGACACTCGCTCCTGTCATAATTGGGCATTGCTCAAAAACTTGAACACATGGTCCTGAATAATATAACATATGCATTCAGCAGTCCGTTATCCCTGAATGGTTTGCTTTTGTGATTGTTGAATGTGTTCAAGTGTAAAGCTTCTAACTCTTTTCTAGGTTTTCGGATGATAGAAATTTCGGATGATAGAAATTAAACTATTCACAAAAACCTTAAACTAGAGTAATCTCACGAATGACATCACTATGTAAGAACTTGTGTATGTATTATGGGCGAAAAGAACAATGATATACAAGTGCCATACTCAGATACTCACAATTGACTGCAAATTCACCCCTCTCTTGGCATCGTCGTAGGCAACTGCTCGGAGTTCTTCATAGCTAATGTCACCAACAATGTCACAGTGACCACTGCAAAAGGCTCGCTAGCGTTACAGTTCAAAGTGGGAGTTTCCCATAGTCAAAGCATAGGGAGTTGATCGACACTCAAGACTTCAGCTTCAACAGAAATGCATATTAATCAATTAACCAAAACAATGGAGCTCAAAGTTATATGATCAAATAACCACAGGCTCGCGAGAGAGAAACATACTTCCTGGAATGACTGTAGCAAGTGAGCTTCCAAATTGGCCTCTCCTGCTCAAAGTCTTCAGCAATCATACGTTTGCAGGATTCAGGGTCAGTGCACCTTCACATAGTGTCCAATTGCATTCCATCTCAGGTAAAGAACAATAGGAGGAGTAATATTAACCCGAAAAACCAAAAACAGTTGGTGCAACCAAATTAACCAACTCACGTATGATTAGCTGCCTGTCTCTTGTTATCAGCCTGCTGCTTCGTCGTAGATGCACCAGGGCCAGCTCCATTCTCTGAACGACTCCATTTATTCTCAAAAGGCTAAAGATTCAAAGCCACACATCAATCAGGGAAACCAAACTCAAACGTGGAATGTACAATGTAGAAAGAGAAAGAAGGAGAACGGGCGGGTGGTAAAAAGTAAAAACCTTGAATTGCTGCTGTGTGGTACCAAACCCACCAGGCCCTCTTGACTGATTGGAGCTCTGCGCTCCAAACCCAAAAGGGTTCGGCTTCTGCTGCTGCTGTTGTTGCTGGCCAGAGCCAAATCCAAAGGGGTTACTGGGTTTTGCCTGTTGCTGGACTACGTGAAGAAATTTGCATCTTTCCCCGTACTGACAGCTGCCATGGCCAAGAAAGGAAAAAACACAAACTAACGTGAGAAGATTTGCAGATGATAAACGGGGGAATCAGTCTCCAAAACCCCCCACATCATAATCCCACCGACGACGAATAGGAAGAAGAAGAGAAGTTCCACCTTCCCCGCTGAAAGTTTCTACAGGGTTCTCTCTTGACAGGCATCTTCTTCAATTGTAAGCAAAAATTCCCTTCTTCTCTCCGCTCTACCGAAACTGAAATTGAAGCGGAGGGAGGGAATGGGCTGCTCTGTTTCTTTTGAGTTTTTTCCCCTTCTTTTTTTCTGTTCGTTGCTCTGCTATTTCCCTTTTTTTTTTTTCAGTTAAGGAGTATATAAGGAGGGAATAGGCCCAACTCACTCTAGCGTGGAAATTAAGAACAGGCCCAATTAAGGTTTGTTGGTTGTTCTCAGTAGGCCCGCTCGCCGGGAGAGAGAGTGGAATTGAAAGCCCAACAAGCAGGAGAAGAAGCACCAGTCGTTATTACACACATTATTTCATTTCTTTATTTTCATTGAATAATTATAGTAATTTCTTACATCATATTTCTCATCTTTTTATTATATAGTTAGCAAATTATGCATAAAAAAAATTATGCATAATTCAATCACTTGAATATCTAAGTAAAAAACACATGCCACATGTATTTATGGACATCTATCATATCCATTATTATAATCCACATTGTTGGTCTAAACTCTCCCGGCTAACAGCCAGTGCTAGTATGTTTTAGGGATTAATTGCAAGGATGGTCACTCGATTTACTAAAACCGTTCATGTTTGGTCACTGCAAATATTTAATTCCATTCATGGTCACTAAGATTAGTTCAATAGTTCAAGTTTGGTCACTCTCCGTTAGTCTCCGTTAGTTTTTGCTGATGTGGCAGTCAACTATTATAGTTGAGCGTTAAATGAGTGACGTGGCCAATAAAAAAATAAAAAATTTGAATATTTCCAATTTCCACCTCATTTTACAACTATTAAAATTTAAATATTTTCTTTGACTTACCTCATTTTACAACAGCGAGCAATTTCCAAACTCGCTTACACCATCTCTCTCCCCCCGGATTCCTTCCTCCGATCATCCAATCACAATTTACAGCATAGATCGATGAGCAAGAGGAAGATTCCGAGCAGCAACCCCACAAAAACCCATTTCCCGGCGTCCTCTGTTTCTGCTCCGGATCTCAAGCTAGACATCCTCCTCCACCCCAATATGACGTCGTGCCTCGCCGCGGCGGCGAAGAAGCTCCGATCATCATCCGAATCGCCTGCACAATCGACGATGATGGACGCTCGGGTCCCAGATCGCGATTTCCCCAACGACAACGGCAACGATTCCGATTCCTCCTCCGACATAATCAACACCGAGATAGTACCCTTTCCCCGCTCGCTCAATAGCATCCCCGCCGCTTCCTCTGCATTCGCCTTCGACATTTTGAGGAAGGAGGGTAATATCCCGACCACCCACCAGCTCTTCCCCAGAGAGGGCGGGGCCAGAGCTCAACCCGCCGGCGACGGCGCCGGGTCAGTGAGGGAAGCACATAATCCGTCGAGGACGTTGGAGTAGGAGTAGATTAGCTTGGAGGCAGGGGATTCTGACTGCGAAATCGACGACAGAGAGGCTAGGTGCCAGTGGTGTGGAGATTGGAAGGCTTTTGGCAATTGGCATGACATTGGAGTCCATTAGAACAATATGCTGCTGCTCGGTTTGGACTAAAGTGAGAAGAAAGGTGGCGAAAAAGGTAAGTTTATTTTTATTTTTATTTTTTAATAGTTGTAAAATGGGGTGAAAATTGTAAATATTTAAAATTTAAAATTTTATTATTTTTTTATTGGCCACGTCACTCATTTAACGGTCAACTATAATACTTGACTGCCACATCAGCAAAAACTAACGGAGACTAACGGAGAGTGACCAAACTTGAACTATTGAACTAATCTTAGTGACCATGAATGAAATTAAATATTTGCAGTGACTAAACATGAACGGTTTTAGTAAACCCAGTGACCATCATTGCAATTAACCCTATGTTTTAGGCTCAAATACAATATTTCACTCGGCAATCTACAATGATGCCGCTCTCAAAAGTACAATACTGGTGCAACTATTTTCTATTGGGTCATGTTAGGATTAGGAAGCTGACGTGGATTAGTTGGATTTGTGAAAATATAGCCCAAATTCCGTCGTCGTTGAATCGGGCCAACCACAAAACCAATTGCAAACCGAATTGATTGTCTTCCTCATCCTGCCACTTCCCAGTTGACTGTTAAAGCAAAAGTTCCGCCAACTTAGCGGTGCATTGTCATTTTCAGTACACAATTCAGTTTTGCCGAAGTGAAGCTTATATCGTTTTTATGGCGTTTTAACATTTTTTTTTTTTTGCTTTATTCTTAGGAAACTAACAGAGCTGCCCATTGTGTGGCAAAAATGGCTCTTTCATCGCCAAATTGATTAGTATTGACTGCATTCTTCTCAATCTTGTAACCTCCTATCAGTTTACAATCTGGGGGGGAAAAAAAGTTTCGCCGACGAACTCAACAATTACTATGACTCCAGGTCTGCCGCTTAACATCTTCGGTACTGCATAGACTTCATTTATATATAACCTGGTTCACCTCTTACCCTGAAATGGAAGATTAGAAAACTCAATCATCCCCCATAAACCATACATTGCAGCTAGGGCTGTTAATCGGTTGCCGGTTTACCGGTTAACCCGAAAACCGAACCGAAAACCGCGGTTACTCGGTGAACCGAAAACCGTGAATACTGCATCGGTGTCGGGGTCGGTTGGATGATTTGGGGTTTTAGGCTAACCGGCAACCGACGGTTGCAAACCGATATAATCTCGGTGCACCGCCAAAACCGCCGTTCCTCTTGAGACTCTCCCTCTCTGCTCTCACCATCGCCACTCTGCCTCTCCCTAGACTCCAAACTCTCCTTCTTCACTCGTCGTTTCTCCAAATCCCTTCAATCACCATCTCCCGCTCCCTCTCCTCTCGGCTCGCCCCGCTCCACCCTTTCCCAAATTGGGAATCCCAATCGCCAGCCACCACCATCTGCAATCTCTCCCTCTCCTCTCGGCTCGCCCCTCTCTACCCTTTCCCAATCGGCAGCCACCAGCCCACCACCATCCTCAATCTTCGCTCGCTACCGACGTTCCTCGGCAGCCACCAGCCCACCACCATCCTCAATCACCACTCGCCGTCGACTTCTCCGCCTCAATCGCCCCCGCCTGACTTCGCCCACTCCTTCCTTGTCGAAAGAGGTCGCCGGCTCCCATTGCATGTCCCTCGATGGTCGCCGCCTTGCCTTCCTCATCCTCGGCGGTCAACAGCGAGATCCCGACCTACCCTTTCTTCTCCAATCGTCGTCGCCCTGCCGCTGCCACTGTCCTTCCTCCCTCTCCAGTCTCCCCTCCTCTCGACGCTTTCTCCCTCCATCTACCTCAATTTGGGGGAGACCCAACTTGGGATTTTCCGCCTCCGATGCCTCTCTTCTTCCCCTGCTGTCGCTGCTTCAAAATTGGTGTGGGTCGGTCTCGGCAAACCGCAACCAAAAGCCGAAACCGACGGTGGCGGTTGGCGGTTAACCGAGAATCCCTTCGGTGTCGGCTTCGGTTGGCAGTGCTCGGGGATTCTCGGTCTCGGCTAACCGATGGTGCGGTTCGGTTGAAACCGAAACCGCACCGCTATCACCCCTAATTGCAGCTATACCAAAAGTTACTTGAAATATTTATAAGAGATACACTATTCCCTGCTTTTTCTTGCGAAGCTGCAGTAAGAATACCTGTATCAATCATATGAGAGACAATAAACATATTGCCATTAACTATTAATCGAAATACCCAACAGATATTGTTTCCTGATGAGGAAGAACTGGAATGTGTTGTCCTCTACATTACCAAGAACTATCCTGTAAGTAGCGATTGCATGTCGCTGAGTAGCTGGATCAAGAACTTTCTGAAAGCTAGACCTTCCTACCATAATCTCTAAAAAATTACTCCTCTAATCCATGAGTTTAAGAGGAGTTCTTGATCCAGCTACTCGGTTGCAGAACAGTTGATGGGGACCCATTAGAAGCAGCTGGATTTCCATTTTGTATGCTGCCATTGCAAGTTGGGGATGCTGTGATTGATGAGGAATCGATTCAGAGGAAGGCAATTTTTGGTATGAGCTGCTACTCGTGTCCAACCATCGTCATTACTTTGATAAGATCCAGCATAACCTTCTCCCAACATATTTGACTCTCGTGTCAGTTCACGAGGAACAATGCGGAAATCAAATCAGAAGACCTCGCACTTCTTGGTATGAGCTGCTGCTCGTGTCCAACCCTCGCCATTACTTGAATCTCGTAGCAATTGGATGAAGAACAATTCTGAACTGCAGGGGAGACATAGGGGAACAACGGGCGGAGAGGGATAAATCTTTTCCTCTGCAGGGTCCTCAATCGAAAGCAGCGGCAGCCAGGGCTACATTGTTTGAACTCTCATCATTTGCATGGTTATGGAAAAATACACCAGATTGATTGAGCAACGAAAGCAACTCTAGCAACTCTTCATTCTTCATCTTTGCAGGTCTCTTATCTTCAAAACCACCACTTCTCAGCACTCCGATAATTTTCTCCTTGAACAGACCCAATGTCCTTCCTGAACCACAGCCGGAAGATTCCATCTCTTCATCACAGTCAGACTCCTCATCGTTTTCATCATCCTCATCGTTTCTCGAAACGGAAACTGTCCGAGTAGATAGCTCCAGCAGCTCCAGTACCTTCTTCTTCTGCTTAAAAGTCGCCCCGAGAGTCTTATTCTTCTTGCCAAAACATGTCTTTGTGAAAGAACACCACTCGGCAAGGTTCACTTGTGGGACCTCGGGTTTAGGACGAATTATTACCACAGAGGAATCGACTTTGGGGCAAGGGTGAAAGTCCCTCTTGCTTACATCCATCACGAACTCGACATCTGCCACCAATTTCACGTTAACAGCAAGCCTGTTGAACTCGGAATCACCAGGGTTTGCCAGCAGCCGCCTGGCGAACTCTTTCTGAAGCAGAAGTGTGGCACTCTGAAATGGGTTCTCTCCATAGACCAGCTTGATGATCAGAGGTGAAGATATGCCATAGGGAATATTAGCCACTACGAGATCGAATGGCGGGAAGTCCACTTTCAACGCGTCCTGGCAAATAACCTGAAAAGACCACCATTGCGGGGGGGAAATATATACAAGTTCCTTCAAATTCTTCTTTGGGGACTTTTATCAGTAACCTTAAGTGCGAGACCAAAAACTTACAGAGAGACTGTCCTGGAACCCGCTCTCGGCTACGCGTTTGTGCAAAACCTCCACCATTCTTCTGTCTAGTTCAACCGCGACAACCTTTCTAGCAACCGGGAGAAGCCTGAGTGTGAGATTTCCCGTCCCGGGTCCGATCTCTAAGACGGTGTCCGTCGGTTTGATGGCAGATTTGCGAACAATCGTATCGAGAATTCGTGGGTTTGTGAGCAAGTGCTGGCCTTTGCTCTTGTGTAGATGTAGTAATTCTCCTTCGGATGCCTCTTTTCTCCTAAATCTCCGGTCATTATCATAGTGAGGTTTAGCAGCGTAATAGCGGTGGCAGAGATGAAAGCTCTGGACAATGGCCCGAAGAAAGTGGAACGGCGGCGAGCTCGGACTGATATACAAACGACTTTTCAAGTGGGAATTCATGTAATACTCTGAGATGGCAAAGGAAACAGAAGTGGAGGCACGGCGAACATAAGTCGGAGCTGGAAGGATGCAGCGGTGGAGGTAGCGGCCGAGCTAACGGCGAACGTCGGTCGGAGCTAGAAGGATGCAGCGGTGGAGCAACGGAGGCGGCGCGTTGGCCTCAATGGCGATGGAGGAGCTGGAAGGCGCGAGGGAGACGGCGATTTGGAGTCTCCTCAAGTGATTAGGGATTTGGACTTGGATTTGGCGATTTGGAGTAGGGGACTAGGGGTGGGCAACGGGAAACGGGTATTTGGGTATACCCGTTCCCGTCCCGTTTTTTAAGGGTTACGGGTACTTATATTACTCGTAATATTATAAACGGATGGGACTTGAGATTGTACATTCCTAATATGGGTACCCGCGGGTAGGGCTGTCACTCGATCGGTTTCGGTTTAACCGAAAACCGAATTGTTGGTTATCGGTCAAACCGACCTCGACCAGAGCTACCGCCAACCGACCGTCCGTGAGCCTCGGTTAGCCGCAAACCGATCGACCGGTTTCTGGTTTCGACTCGATTAGCCGGCCAACCGGAAACTAGCTTTAAAAAAAAAAAGCAACAAAAAATCTGCACCACACACTCCTAACCTAACCCCTCCGTTTCTCGATTCTTCTTTCCCCTCCGTTTTCTCGATTCTCTTCCCATACCATCTCTCTCCCTACTCTCTCTCTCTCTATTCTCTTCTTCCTCTGGAAGGAAAATCGAACAACCAACTCCCTCGATTCTTCTTCCCAGACTATCTCTCTCCCTATTCTCGCCTCCTCCCTCGATTCTCTCTCTCGATTCTGCTGGTGTTGGCGACGGGGGCGCGGCGCGGCGACGGGGGCAGGGCGCGGCAACGAGCGCGGGGCGCGGCGACGAGAGCGAGGTGCGGCGACGGGCGCGGAGACGCGGAGCGAGGTGCGGCGACTGGCGCGGCGCGAGGATCTGGCCTCCATGCAGAAGAAGAAGAGTCGAAGGAGTTAACCGAGGAGGAGAGGTGAGGAGGAGGAGGAGAGGTGAGGGTCGGATCTGCTGTGGAAGGATTTGTAGGAAGAAAGAGAGAAGAAGAGTCGAAGGAGTTAGGAAGAAAGAGAGAAGCTGGAGTGGAGGGGTCACCTTCTCTTTTTTATATTTTCGGTTGTGGGTCGGTCGGCCGGTTAGTCGCGGTTATCCGGCTTCGGTTACTCGGCTAACCGGACCCCTGATTTCCTCTACCGCCAACCGACCGCCCTCTTCGGAATCGGTTTTTAGGCTAGCCGAAAACCGGTCGGTTCGGTTGAAACCGACTGGTTAGCCGCTAACCGGAAAACCGTCCGCCAGCCCTACCCGCGGGTTACCCTCGAATACCCGTTTGGGTAATATGGGTACCCGTTATACCCATTCAATTCAAATATAGAAATTTAATTCCGCCCAACCCAATTCAAAACCCATTGGCCATTTCGGCCCTTACCCTTTCAATTTCAATTCCATTTGGACCCTTACCCTTTCACTCTTTCACTGACATGTTTGGTGAATTATTAGAGAGAGTTGGGATGTGTTTGAATGAATTTTTTTTTTTTTATAATTTGGTACTTGGAATGATTTATTTCTATGTGTTGTGATTGTTCATGAATGTGTAATTTGCAAACAAAGTATTTGTGATTGGGATGTATTTTGTGTCTTGTGATTGTTAAGCAAATACAAGTTAAGTTTAAACTTTTGTTAAAATTTTGGCAAAATACACTTTCATAGCCATAACTATTTGCGTTGTGACAATAATAGCTACTTTTTGAAAAATACACTAATATAGCCACATTTTGAAAACTCAATTGACAAAGTTAGCCATTTCCGTTAAAAACTTTAACACCGTTAACAAAACGCTGATGTGGATGCCACCTCAGCACTTACACCAGCTCTATCGTACAAAAACATGCCACCTCACTGCCACATCATATTTAAATCAAAAAATAAAATATAAAATTTTCATAATATAATTTCTGTTTGCATTACATCTATGTCTCTCCTACACCGGCGCTGCTTAACCACCGCCGTCGCTCACGTCTCTTTTACTGAGACCCAATCCCCCCATCCCCTGACTCGCTGCCAAATACAAATCCGCCTCAAGAGATTAAAGAAGCCTTCTCGTCGGACCAATTCCATCTAAAACTCCCACCACTACCCACCCACTGACCGCCAAACACAAAACCTAAAAGCAGAGAACATGGAGAAAACCGAGGCAAGCTAGAAGCAGAGAGTCAGTCGCGAAATTTGACTAAGATTTGGGAAGGGCTGAGCTGAGGTGTCCCAGAGACGATGAATCAGGCGATTGATTCCATCTTTTTTTTTTTATCAAAACCATAAGAGGCAGCGACAAAATAAGGGCATCCCAGAACAAGACCCAACCATCTGTCCTCCAAATCTCCAGATCTGTAGCTATTTGGTGGTGGGAGAACAAGGCTCAGTTGCATCATGTTACCGAGAGCGAAGAAGCAGATTGGTTTGTCCTCAGGAGGAAAGTCAAAGCCCTGAATATTGAGGAACTCGAGCTCTCAAACCATCTCCTTCTATCACAGGGGAGTCTGCGGCAGAGGACAGTGGCGTTGCGTAAGCGGAGAAGATGAAGAGAGATAGAGAGGGAGAGCCGTTTTCCATCTTCTTCTTTGTCTTTTCTTTGTAGAACTACAAAATCTAAGTTTGGAATTTGACTCCCAAAATTGGGAAGAAGGGACGGGTATTCAAAATCAATCGTGGAGATGGATTCCACTGAAGCCGGAGATGGATTCACGCCAGCGGAGGGTTGGGAGATCTAGATCGACAATGATTGACGCTAAAGATGCCCTTGTGCGCCTGGATCTACCGATACTCGAGGCGACGTCGCCGGCGGTGGATTGAGGGTCGACGCTAGGGCTGAACCAGAGTAAAACGACGGAGTCCATAGTGGATCGGGATCTGCCGACACTAGGTCGTCGGTGAATCTAGTGGCTGCAAGTTTGTGGGTTTTGTGGGTTTCAACAGGGGCAAATATGGTCGATGGCGACGACGTACGGCTGGGGAAGGGGTTTAACGAGATGAGATGGGTCTCTGTTGCTTGATCGGAGATGTAGGGAGAAGAAGAAAGGAAGGTAGATGAATCTGTAGAGAATGAGCTTTTGATTTTATTTTATTTTCTGTTTTGTTTTCTATTTTATTTTGCAGTTATTTTATTTTATTTTTGCCATGTTAGAAACATATTCCACCTGGACTGCCACGTAGCAAACATCCGTTTGTCCAGTCAGCAATTATGAGAAAACCGTTACTTTTATGGACGGAATGGCTATATCAGTGTATTTTTCAAAAAGTGGCTATTATTGTCACAACACGAATAGTTATGGCTATTGAAATGTATTTTGCCTAAAATTTTAGTGGTTTAAACTTTGGGTATTTATGGGTAGTATGGGTACCCGTTATCCGTCCCGTACGGGTAATGGGTACCCGTTTCCCATATGGGTTTGGGATATGGGATGGACTTTGGTCTCCAAATGGGACTGGGTACCCGTCTAAAACGGGACGGGTATCCCGTCCCGTCCCGTTGCCCACCCCTAATTTGGAGACGGCCCTTCCAAAAAAAAAAAAATATTTTTTTGTTTTTAAAACCAAAACGGTGTCGCTCTAGTCAAATTGGAGCGAGACTCGGAGTTTCCTCATTCATAGGGATGGCAACAAAATTCGAACCCACGGGTACTGTCACGGACCAACTCTTGGCCGTGCGGCACTTAGCACTCAAGTCTCGTTAGAACGCTAAGTCAGCCTTGCTCGTATTCACTCAAACTCACAAGTATGGAGAAATGCTATAGAGATGGAAAACTCTCAATTTCTGGATGAATGAAAAGTGTTGGAGAGGGCTGCTTATATAGGCATCCTCTCCACTAAGTACAATGTACATGGCCGTCATAAATGAACGAACCTAGATAGTCCCCCCATACATGAACTAGCCCCATACATGAATGTAATAAATGAGATGCATGAATAAAGATAGAAAAAGGGGGATGCATGTACATTGGTGCATGAATCGGAAGATGCATGCACGTACTTGCATCGTTCTAGAATGCTCTAGAATCTTCCGCGTAACATTCTCCCCCACTCAATCTCGCGACGCCCTCGTCGCGGACTCTGCATGAAATGCCTCGATCAAGTCTTTGTGACGCCATAGCGAAAGCTCCTTCTCCCATGTGATGTCGCTTTCTGGCCGCCCCTTCCACTTGACAAGATACTCCACGTAGCTTGGGTGAACACCACGCCTAGGCACAACACGATGAGCCAAGATCTCCTCCACTTCATGCTCATGTGTTGTGGTGACGAGAGTTGGTGCCCTCGTCGACTCCTTCCGCGCTCCATCTTCCTTGTCTTCATGATATGCCTTCAATTGACTCACATGGAAGACGGGGTGAATCTCCAAGTGCGATGACAGCTCAACTTTGTACGCCACCGTGCCAATCCGCTTCAAGATCGGATATGGCCCTTCATACCGTCGCAGCAGCCCCTTGTGCACGTTTTCACCATCACCAAGTCTCCCTCCTCGAATTCCAAGTGATGCCGCTTCTTATCCGCCCACTTCTTCATCTTCTTTGTTGCTCGAGCGAGATAAGACTTCGCCAACTCCATCTTCTCATGCCACCCTCGTGCAAACTTGTAGGCAGATGGGCTATTGCCCTTGTACCCCGTCGTCACCGTATTAGGTGTCAACGGCTGTTGGCCAGTCGCCAACTCGAACGGGCTCATGCTCGTGGCTTAACTTCGGTGTAAGTTGTAGGAGAATTGGGCTACATCCAATAGCTTCACCCAATCCTTCTGGTTGGCACTCACATAATGCCGCAAGTAGACCTCCACCAAAGCATTGACCCGCTCGGTTTGCCCATCCGTTTGAGGATGAAAGCTCGTGGAGAAGTTCAGATCGGAGCCCATCATCTTGAACAACTCCCTCCAAAACTTGCCGGTGAAGCGGCCATCTCTATCGCTGACGATGCTAACCGGGATGCCCCAATATTTCACAACATGCTTGAAAAACAAGCGGGCTGCATCCTCGGCCGTCATGTCTTTGGGCCCCGCGATGAAGACGCCATACTTCGAAAATCTGTCGACGACGACCATGATGGAACCACACCCTTCGACTTTGGGAAGGCCGATGATGAAATCCATGCTAACGCTTTTCCAAGGCCGTTGTGGAGTGGGTAATGGCTCCAACAAGCCCGCCGGACTCCGCTGCTCCATCTTGTCTTGCTGGCAAACAAGACAAGTCTTGACGTAGAGTTCCACGTCGTCCTTC